ACGATAAATATACTTCACACAGGATTCTCCCTAACATATTCCAGTTCTCATTATTATGTCCATTAATGGCCCTGGACATAGCCTGGTTTTGTGAGAGGGTCTAAGAATTGAGCCTCACACAATTCTCTTCAAAGCGGCCCCACTTCTCTCTCACATAGGTGATTCTTAATTATAAGTAGCCCGTACTACCTTCTCATACAAGAATCATAAAAAGCCAAAGGTTTATCCTACTCACCACGAGTATCACTGTTTAAGGAACGGGCATGGGATATTATCCCACAGTGATCACAAGAGTCTTTTTACAATTAGGTTGTCCCTTTGAACCAAGATCTTGGGATCTCCAGTCATCAAGGTAGGGTTTCCATTGTATCAACTCATTTCTAGAGGCTTAAGTCCCATTCCTCTCAAAGATTTAGCAACTAACTCTCTATTTAACCCTTTGGTTAGCGGATCCACAAGATTATCTTTTGACTTCACATAGTCAATAGATATAGTACCAGTTGAGAGTAGTTGTCTAATGGTATTATGTCTTCGATGAATATGTCTAGACTTACCGTTATACATATTACTTTGTGCCCTGCCTATAGACGATTGACTATCACAATGTATACAAATGGCTGGCACTGGCTTTGACCATTTTGGAATATCTTCTAAGAAATGGCGAAGCCACTCTGCCTCTTCTCCACTTTTGTCCAATGCTATAAATTCGGACTCCATTGTGGATCTGGCAATAACAGTCTGCTTAGAAGATTTCCATGATATGGCTGCACCTCCAAAAGTGAATATATATCCACTAGTGGAATTAGAATCTTTCATATCAGATATCCAGTTGGCATCACTATAGCCTTCAATTACAGCTGGATATTTACAATAGTGCAAACCATATTTACAAGTATATCTCAAGTATCTGAGTAATCTCACATATCCTTTCCAGTGTTCATTTTCTGGATCACTTGTATATCTACTCAGTTTACTCACGGCAAAGGCGATGTCTGGTCTAGTACAATTTATTAGATACATCAGACTCTCTATCACCCTTGAATATTCGACTTGAGAAACACTTTCTCCTTTATTTTCGACAGATGATGACTTGTATTTATTGGGGTCCTAGCCTAAGTCGAATCATCTTTATTAAATTTTTCAAGGATTTTCTCCACATAATGTGTCTGACTCAGAACAATTCCTTGTGATGTTCTATGAATTTTAATTCCAAGAATCACATCAGCTAGACCCATATCTTTCATGTCAAATCTTGAATTTAACATATCTTTTGTGGATTTAATAATTTTATCATTGCTTCCAACAATGAGCATGTCATCTACGTAAAGACATAGGATTACATAACCTTTTTTCCGTGTCTTTAACATAAACACATTTATCACATTCATTAATTTTAAATCCACTTTGAATCATGTCATTATCAAACTTTTCATGCCATTGTTTTGGAGCTTGTTTTAAGCCATACAAAGACTTAACCAATTTACAAACTTTATTCTCTTGCCCGGGAGCAGAGAACCCTTCAGGTTGCTCTATATAAATCTCTTCTTTTAAATCTCCATTTAGAAAAGCTATTTTTACATCCATTTGATGTATTTCAAGATTTCTTAAAGCTGCAATTGCAATAATCACCTTGATGGATGTTATTCTCGTTACCGGAGAATATGTATCAAAGTAATCAAGGCCTTTTTTTTGCTTATAACCTTTAATTACAAGTCTAGCCTTATACTTATCAATTGGTCCATCAGGTTTTATTTTCTTTTTGAAAATCCATCTGTAGCCCAATGGTTTACTTCCAGGAGGAAGATCCACTAGCTCCCATGTGTGATTTTGTAAAATGGAATCAATTTCACTTTAAATTGCCTCTTTCCAAAGAGGTCCTTCAGAAGAATTTACAGCTTCTGAAAACATTTGTGGTTCGCTATCAACCATATAGGTTAGAAAATCTGGACCAAAAGATTTTTCTATCCTACCTCTTTTACTTTTTCGAGGTTCTACCTCAATATATCCATCTTGATCTTTTTCTATTATTTCCAAATTTCTTTTAGTGGAACTAGAATCCACTTTAGACTTACGTGGAAATATATGCTCAGAAAATGAAGCATTTCTAGATTCAAGTATCGTGTTCTTATGAATTTCCTCAATTTTGGATTCATGTACAAGAAACCGATAAGCACTACTATTGTGTGCATATCCAATAAATACACAATCAACAGTTTTTTGTCCAATCTTTTTTTTCTTTGGCGTAGGAATTGCTACCTTTGCCAGACACCCCCACAGTCGCAAGTATTTGTAGGATGGTGGTCTTTCATGCCATAATTCATATGGACTTTTGTCTAACTTTTTACGGGGAACCTTATTTAAAAGGTAATTTGCTGACAACACAGCTTCCCCCCACATGTTCTGTGGAAGTCCAGAACTTAACAACATTGAATCCATCATTTCTTTTAAAGTACGATTTTTTCTCTCCGCAATCCCATTTTGTTGCGGTGAATAAGGTGTTGTCATTTCATGTCTTATCCCATGTTGGACACAAAATTCAGCAAAAAGGTGACTCATATTCACCTCCTCTGTCACTTCTTATCACCTTAATCTTTTTATTTAGCTGATTTTCAACTTCGTTTTTGTAGAGAACAAATTTCTCTATCGCTTCATCTTTACTTTTGAGAATATACACATAACAAAATTTAGTGCTATCATCTACAAAAGTAATGAAATATTTATTTCCACCACGTGTCGTAACAGCTTTTAAATCACATACATCAGTGTGAATTAAATCAAGTGGTTCACTATTTCTTTCAATAGTTTGAAATGGTAATCGTGTCAAATTTGCTTCAACACAAGTTTCACACTTATGTTTTGAATCAATATAGAACATATGTATGCTTTTCAATTTTATTAACCTGTGCAGGGTATTATAATTGACATGTCCCAGTCTACCAGGCCACACAATGGAAGACTCAAGCATATAAACGGAAGAATTAACATTTTTATTAATTGTCATCACATTGAGCTTAAAAAGCCCATTACATTCATAAACCTTCCCTACAAATGCTCCATTTTTAGTCAAAATGACCTTACCAGATTCAAACACTACACGAAAACCATGTTTGATCAACAAAGAACCAGACACTAGGTTCTTACGAATTTGTGGTACATAAAGAACATTATTAAGAGTCAACTCTTTTGCAGATGTCATCTTCAGTACCACTTTTCCCACTCCTTTGATATCAGATGTGGTAGAATTTCCCATGAAGAGCTTTTTTCCATCCATCATCTCGTCAAGGACATTAAACTGTTCCTTGTTTGAGCAAACATGATGGGTAGCACCCGTGTCAATCCACCATTCATGTGGATTTGAGCCCACCAGATTCACCTCGGATATAACTGCGGCGAGGTGCATCTCATCAACATCTTTGGCCAGATTTTCCACAATGTGGGCTTCTTGAGTTTTCTTTGGCAACCTGCAATCAGATTCCTTATGACCAGGTTTATTACAATTATAACAATTTCCAGAAATTTTTTTCTTGAAAATTTGTTTCTTTGGCCCCATTATTGCCTTTTCATTATTACCAGCTTTTTTCTTATTATATTAGTTTGAGCTTTCGCTATGCTCAACAACATTAGCCTTGGCAAAATTAGGATTAACTATTTTGTTGTCATAGCCTTGTTGTCTTCTTCAATTCGAAGTCTAACAACGAGCTCTTCAACGGTCATCTCCTTTTTCTTATGTACTAAATAATTTTTGAAATCTTTCCAGCTCGGTGGTAGCTTTGCAATTATGCCAGCCACCTGGAAAGTTTCATTCACAACCATTCCCTCAGAATGGATATCATGCAAGATTATTTGAAGCTCTTGCACTTGACTGATTACAGTCTTCGAGTCAACCATCTTGTAGTCCAGAAACCGGCCTACAAGAAATTTCTTGGCCCCAGCGTCTTCAGTTTTATATTTCTTATTCAAAGACTCCTACAGCTCTTTTGCTGTTTTGATACAACTGTACACGTTGTACAGTGTATCAGCCAAGCAATTCATCACATAATTTCTACACAAGAAATCCGAGTGATTCCATGCATCAAGCGCACTAACCGCTTGAATATCCGGATTTTCTCCCAACTTTGGTGGATTTTCCGTCAAGCACCTCGCAAGGTTCAACGTAGTGAGATAAAACAACATCTTTTGTTGCCAGCGCTTGAAATTCAAGCCATTAAATTTTTCCAGTTTATCAGCATGATTTATCGGAACAGAAGGAGCGATAGAAATTGTAGTAGCAACACCGGTATTAGCAACGCCAATAGTATTTTGTTCAGCAGCCATCTTTAATAGGAATCTGTTTTAAGATTGTAGGGAACTTTAACGGGAAAATAAAATAAGATGGCTATATAACATATACCGAGACCTGTGAGAACACAGTGTCCTTAAAATAGATTCGCCCCGTATGAGCGTCTATTTCCCAGGATACAACGGAAAAACCAAAACAAATCCGGCGAACTGGAATTTTGCCTGGACCAAAACACTTAAAAATTGGGGAAAAAGCCTTTTCTTGTTTTTTCTTTTCTTGAGTTCGTATCTCTTTTTTCCACAAGAAGCAACCTTATATAGTCATAAAACAAGGCACTTCATTAATTAGACTATTTAAATCAAACTTAATAAAGTTGAGTTAAATGTTGCATTAATAAAACCAAGTTACATGTTTTTGAAAAGTGAAGAGACGGTTTCAAATTTAATTGTTTATGTAACATACATTTCATTTAATATTTTTTTTCCAACAGTTATCTCTCCCTATTTTATAAATAGAGAAATGAGATGGGAACTAAAGTTTTCAAAAGCAGTCACTAAATTGGCCCGAGAAGTACGAAAAAATCATACCCACACCACCATGATTCAACCATCCATAAAGTTCACAATTTACACACCTCAGAGA